CTGTCTGTCTGTCTGTCTGTCTGTCTGTCTGTCTGTCTGTCTGTCTGTCTGTCTGGAGTTGTGAGCTGTTTGTCTGTCTGTCTGTCTGTCTGTCTGTCTATCTGGAGTTGTGAGCTGTTTATCTGTCTATCTGGAGTTGTGAGCTGTTTATCTGTCTGTCTGTCTATCTGGAGTTGTGAGCTGTTTATCTGTCTATCTGGAGTTGTGAGCTGTTTATATGTCTGTTTGTCTATCTGGAGTTGTGAGCTGTTTATCTGTCTATTAACTGTCTATCTATCAAAGTATTATGAGTTGTGACCTTGTCCATCATTGTCATGTGACCTTGTCAGTCATTTGCTGTGACCTTGACAGACATTTATCTGTCATTTACTGTGACCTTGTCAGTCATTTACTGGGACCTTGTCAGTAATTTATAACGACCTTGTCCGTCATTTACTGTGACCTTGTGTGACCTTGTCAGTCATTTACTGTGACCTTTACAGTCATTTACTGTGACCTTGTCAGTCATTTACTGTGACCTTGTCAGTCATTTACTGTGACCTTGTTTGTCATTTATTGTGACCTTGTCCATCATTTACTGTGACCTTGTGTGACCTTGTCAGTCATTTACTGTGACCTTGTTTGTCATTTACTGTGACCTTGTGTGACCTTGTCCATGATTTACTGTGACCTTGACTGACATTTGTCAGTCATTTACTGTGACCTTGTCAGTCATTTACTGTGACCTTGTTTGTCCTTCATTGTGACCTTGTCCATCACTTACTGTGACCTTGTCCATCATTTACTGTGACCTTGTCCATCATTTACTGTGACCTTGTCAGTCATTTACTGTGACCTTGACAGTCTTTAACTGTGACCTTGACAGACATTTATCAGTCATTTACTGTGACCTTGTGTGACCTTGTCAGTCATTTACTATGACCTTGTCAGTCATTTACTGTGACCTTGTGTGACCCTGTCCAAGATTTACTGTGACCTTGACAGACATTTATCAGTCATTTACTGTGACCTTGACAGACATTTATCAGTCATTTACTGTGACCTTGTCAGTCATTTACTGTGACCTTGTCAGTCATTTACTGTGACCTTGTCAGTCATTTACTGTGACCTTGACTGTGAACTATCTTGTCATTGACTGAATTTGTCCGTAACCCTGTGTCTTAGTTTCCATCTTGTGTTGGATGGCTAGTTCAAATCTCTGTCTCTCTGTGTCTCTTTTACTTAATGATGGCTTTGTTCAATCTACCACAATGACAAGCGAGTTCTACACGTAGAAATGTTCTGGTTGCTGTTCTTCAAGGTCAGGGAGTGAGGTGAGGGCGGGTTTTGCTTCACTTTCACAATCTCTCCTTGTGCACACAGCAATCTTCCACTTTTTGAGACTGGGTGGGGTTTTTGTTGTTGTTGTTTTGGGTTTTTTTGAATGGGCTGAGTTGTGAAGGTTTGTGTGTGCTCCACTGTCTGTGTGGGCGGTGGGGTCTGCTAGAAATACAAGTCTTTACACAAACTGTACACGACTGTGTCGCCTTGTGTTGTTTGATAAACTGTACACGACCGTGTCGACCGTGTCGTTGTCTGTGTCGTTGTGTGTGTTGTTGTGTGTGTTGTTGTGTGTGTGTTCCACTGTTTGTGATTCCTGTACACATGTTGTATCCCTCTCAGCCCGGGTCTGTCTGCTGGGACGTTGTATCCCTCTCAGCCCGAGTTTGTCTGCTGGGACGTTGTATCCCTCTCAGCC